TTGTTAGTGTTTTCCGAATCTTTGTTGACAAACATTTCGTCTATTTCTTGACTAAGATTTGAAAATCTTTTTGATGCCGGCTCCATTTTGTAAACAGTCAAAAGCAGCAAAAAACAATTCCCGCCTTTACAAACTTTTACTCGACGCAATGGCCAAGCGGTCAACAATCGTCAAACTGTTGACCGATCAGTCAACAGTTGRTTTTAGCTHCSGRCACGTGACACCGAATCGTCCAATAAGAGAGCGAGAAAACAGTGAAAATAATTTACCAATATAACAAATCATTTTGTTTYATTGATAACTCGAGAAAACGCATGGAATTTGAAAAGAAAGACAATGGAATTGATTTGAAATCCACACTTTTATTCTCACAGTTAGGAATGTTTTGCGCACAAATGAGGCTAACACAGAGCATTGGAGAATTTTGCCTCAATATTTTGTACAAATACACGCCTTTGCTACAAAATGGATTCTTCGTCGCTTATACCTCCTCTGGACATGACACGAGAATATATGGTTGATACTGAGTGCTTGACGAGCAGTATTTGTTCTGACATACTAAGAATGTGAATGAGCAATATGGCGGTTTGTTGACTAGTGGTATCCACTATAACGGCCTTGATATTTCAAAAAAGAAATCAGGTAAGCCTGTAATTTCTATAATGAATAGTCTATTTAATTTTTTTTTTTTAATTTATTAGCTTTGCCCCTAGTATGGACAGGGACACCGCAATAGCGTGAGCCAATTACTGCGGGCCCTGTACTCTCACACTCACTACCTCTACTCCCCACATGTTGATTTTTACTGAGGGAGGAAAACCGGAGGACCCGGAGAAAAACCCTCGTGGCAAGGGAGAGAACAACACATCAAACAAACTCAAACTCACATATGGTCCGTGCCCGGGAATCGAACCCGGACCACAGCGGTGAGAGGCAAGCAGATTAACCACTAGGCCACCCATGCCACCTATATGCTATACAGTGTTAAATTATCGTGTTATTAATGTCATCAAAGCCTTATTTTGGCAGGAACATTTTGTTGAAAACTTGGCGATTTTAGCGAAATTAGTTGTTAACCGATTATAATTGCATATTTATAACGAAATCTGTACTCGACCGCCACACTTTTSTTTGTTGCAAAAGGAAGAGTTACCCTTGCTTATTAGGAATACTGTGCTCTCTATGTTTTATAAAATAGGTAACTTTGATTTTTGGATCAATTYATACATGGTATACCGTCGACTTTGGCWTAGCGCTTTATTTGTTTGGTACTACATATTCCCTTACAATACTAAATAATGGACGAGGACCTATGTTCTCAACAGTTAAAACCTCAAATATTATTTTACTCTCGCAAATTTTAAGATCGTGCACATTTTTCTCCTAAATTTATCCAACTGAAAATATGTTTATTCATATTAAGGCGTTTCGATCGTAATAAATAGCGCTTCGCAGAAGTTGGCTTTTTCACAGAAGTAAGTGATTATCGATAATTCTTCTTGATAAATTCGTGTGCGTTTGTTATCAGCTTTATGCTTTGATGCTAATTTAAGCTCCTCTTTATCATTCAATACACACAGTCAAATTGTGATAAAATTATGGTGTCTATGTATCCACCTCGGTGAAATCAACAAACTAAATAGTTTTGTACAAAATGGTAAACTTCGTACAGTACAGAGGTGATTGATTTTTTTTCAAATTTTATCTATTCATTTTACGTACTTTTGTTAGACTCTTCTGTGTAAATTTGGACTCAGCCTTCCCCCGAAAATCATGTAAATTTCGTCACGCTTCAAAATTAGCATAAAGCTGAAATGTCAAATTAAACGCGCACGAGCTGCCGGAAAATTACAAAAATTATTTTGTCGTAATGTAGCCCTTTCGGAAGCTCAAATATAGCTGGCAATGTTTGTTTGKGATGGTTTTAATAAACACGTGAAACAAAGTGTAATAATTAGATTGTAATAGATCGAAATAGTCGCGTAGAGACAATAAAAAACAAAAGAGCCAAAGTGTAATAACGATAAATACGCTAAAGTGTGTTTCACGGGTTAATGAAAACCACTCTACCAATGAGYACAAGCAATATTTTAATAATGCACAGCTTTAGTCTTCAAATAAAAAGCTGAGGTTTCCTCTGTACATATATATCGCAACTATCAACGATTAACGCTCGAGCGTTTTAATACCRATTGTTTGAAATTTGTTCAATGTTCTAAATATAGCCTAACAAAGAATCTAATAATCTGTTGGTTATGCATTTACTTAAAATATTGCTGTTTGTGTATTTTTATAAATCTCAATAACAGTGAAACCAAAGATGTCTTATAATTATTATGAATGTTTTCTATATTGTAGGCATATTCACTATTTAAACGTAAAGTAAATTTGAGCTAACTATTTTTGGACTGATCTGTGTATCTTGTGTGTCTTCTCTAAACTCCAATGTCAAAATCGCAAAATAATCATAACCGCGACTGCAATTTACAGGCGTGTATCAGCGGTTTTAGCGCATGCTCATGCAAATTTCCCTCAGGCTTTTATTCACAGGTATCTATCAYTGCAAGTTCAACGGTGTCTCGCTTCGATGTAAAGGCACGGCTACCTTTCAAGATGGCGCACGTAAGCGTGAAGAAGACTATTATTGTTTTCTCAATATTTTCTAATATCATAATAACTGCAGTGCTAGATAGTATGCATATGACAGATACTGTGTCAAAATATGCAAATACTGAACAGCGTGGATTCAGTTTTTTCCATAATAGGCACGAGCATGTCAGATTGCTGCCCATTAATGATTTCAGTTGTAAGCCCATGGAATACTGTACAAGCATGTATTTCCGTTAAATTTAGTATCTATATGCATGATTTGTCCATGTTCCTATCGTCAAGTAATGTAGATTTGCATTCGAAGACTGTTGAAGATACTGCGCCCATCGTTGCTTGACAAACATTTTACTCGGTATATTAAGACTTGTCCTGAGAAAAAAAACAAAAAAAAAACAGTCAAGCATGAGTCAAACTTAGATGGGTAATTTAAATAAATGATAAACCGAAAATATTCATGTCAAGAAATTCGAAAATTTCGAARCATCAAAACACGAGTAGATGGTATAAATACTTATATTTCTACTTGATTTAAGACATCATCATTGGAAAAAGGTAGGTAAAACTAGTAATGAAATATGCTGCTCTCCATCAAAATAATAAGCTTGATTAAATCATCATATCATCGTCAATTCATTGTTTTAAATCTAAATTAAAGCTTTATGTTATTTTTCCTTTCAGAATTGGTATGCAAATGACATCAAGATAAGGGTTTTGAAGGACTGAGGAAAAGCACTTGCTGAAAGACTTTGTTTCGACACTTTAAATGATGTTTGATAGACCGCTTCGATGTGCCGCCATTTCTTCAGCTTCGTTCTTTCATCACCGACGATAAAATTGAAGAAGCCACAAATAAAGCATGATCATACATCATTAGTTGGATGAACTCCGTTTCATTACTAAGAAGGTGGAAGTCATGTTCAAAGATTTTTCATTGAACTGGTATCTGGTAATAGTATCAAACTTAACTCAAGATAGTTTTATGCGAGCCATGCAAGAACTGCAACGACAACAAGCCATACGAAAATAAATCCTCAAAGCCACAAATGATAACGTTTTTCGGAGAAATTCCGTTTCATGGAAAAGCTAGAATTCATGCCTATAGATAGGATATTGAAATGCTAGCTATTTTCATCGTGTACTAGAAGGTACTGAATTTTTAAACTATGCTAAGTCATTGAATATTCATGTTCTGTTGAATGAATGTGATTAAAACATAGTGCATGGGAAAATATCATTTGTCGGTAAAAAGGAGTGATTATGATTGGTTGTGGTGTCCATATAAATTAAAAAAGTCTCTGCATTATTCGATAAAAATCAGGCTAGAAACGCGGAGCGCGAMCCACCCACTCTGCCARGGAATACTCTATTGGGCAGAATCCTATTGTTTTTCCGGACATTTTGTCAATTTGGCATAAATTAACATTAGTATGCATGGCTGACTATGATCGTGTTTGATTGGTTAATTTCTTTGATCAGTGAATTGACGAAATTCCCGAGCAAAAATTTGACAGCTGTCAATAATTCAGCTTTGGGACCATTTAAGTCCCCAGGCGGGATTCGAGAGCTGTCAATCTTCGACTCCACTGCGTTACTTTTTTAGACACGAAGAATGTCTGAAAGTGACTTATAAGTCAAGTAAGCGTCATATTATAACTTCAGTCGAAGAAACGAGCCACAACTCTAACTGTTTTTAGCCAAGTCCATGCTAACTTAAGATAAATTTAAAGTACTATTGTGTCAAACAAACTAGTCTAATGAGTCGAATTTTGACTACAACTCGAACTGTAAAGTAAAGAAAGCGTTCTTTAATAAACTTCTGTCGAATAACATCTACAACAAGAATTGTAAAGTCAAGAAAGCGTTCTTTAATAAACTTAAGTCGAATAACATCTAGAACTCGAACTGTAAAGTCAAGAAAGCGTTCTTTAATCAACTTCTGTCGAATAAAGCTAAACCTCGAACTGTAAAGTCAAGAAAGCGTTCTTTAATAAACTTCTGTCCATACTATGTTCTGTCGAATAAAGCTAAAACTCGAACTGTAAAGTCAAGAAAGCGTTCTTTA